GGTCAAAAGCTAGCTTCTTCAGGGTCAATACAGATATTTTATATATTAGAGCAGTTATTAATTTGCAAAATGATTACGAGAGACACTGTTGCATATTGAATCTCGCAACATTGCCGCCAGTCCTCCTTACAGCATTCTTTGAAGTGTTCTTCATTTGCCTCGCCTCTCTTATGTGCTTCTGGCTGAAGTCTTTTGATCGTCGGAGTTTGGAGTTTACCTCATGCCGTTTGCTTGATCCTCTCGCTACCCCAGTTATATGTTTTTATTGTTGCACTGATGGGTTTGGCAGAAGTCTAACACAGAAGAATATACATACATTTGCTGTAAGATGGAAATAATTTCCATTGTCGGTAGTTGTGAATACATCCAAATTATACTATTGATCTGAGAAGGCTAAATATGATTTATACTCTTTGTATCTGTGGATACTGAAAGGATGTAGACATATTTTACCTTTTGAAATATTATATACAGTTTATTTTGATAAGGTGTGTGTGCCTGACCCCCATGACCTTGTGAGGACTGCGAGCATCATTTCCACTTGTGGAATTCCAGACATTTGCTAAGGATTTTTGTGGCTCAGAGATCATATAGTCAACTTAGAGCTAGTCCATCACCTGCCCGCAGACTTAATATAATCTAGAGGGAGAATGTGTTCTGCATGCCTTCTTTGATATTTACATTCACCACCGAACTCACCGCTGTCTGCTAAAGTGTGTTGGACAGGAGGTCTCCAGATCAGCTTTCAATGTGGTTGGGATCCCCCACAGCAACTATATTTTTGTAGTGTTCAAGTTCTGCTGTTACAACCTTATGACATTTTGATCCAGGCCACACTTCCTTTTTGATTGTCTGCCATGGAATGTGGCTTTTAAATTAGGCTGTTTTGATTATTAGACTTGTGGCTTGCAGCTGAGAAAAAGAAATGACTTAACATTGACTGAATTGATTTAACATTTCTAATCCTTGTGCAATTGGACTGCAGTTTGAGTCGGTTTGTGCGATACTGAAAGTTAAAAAGTGTTCTTGTGTTCCTCAAATGTCTCTGGGAGCTCTGCGCTGTGGTCTGTGGAGCAGTTAAGGTAGTGACAGTGACCAAGTTCACTGCAGCCTGCTCTCTCCTGCAGCTCTGCAGTGATTGCAGCTCCAGTGTACTGGGCTGTCCTCTGGAGTAGATTTTCAGAGCCCTCTTCCGCCCCCTCTGCAGCTGTGCTGCTTATATTACAGAGGACACTTCCACATTCTACACATGGTCTTACTTCTTGTGGTGTAGATGGTCAGCAGGTCCTGCTGTGGTAGAACATCTCTTTGGATAACCATAACTGAGGGCCACAACTCTTTGTGCTCTACCTGTGAAATGATTGTTGAACCAGATTGAAGCATTCAGATAGGCACAACTTTTTTTTTGCTGACAATAAATATCCTTTGGAATTATCTAAAAGAGAAACGGAAGCAAACATTGTATTATAATACATACAGTTTTAAAATGTCTAATTTTAAGGTTGAATTAAAAAGTTGCTGTTTTCCAATGGGCGAATAATACGTTATTTTATGCAATTGTTTTCCCGCTCAAAATGTGCAGCGTTTGGCTGTGGTAAAAGCCGTAGCTGTCATAAAAGTCAGTGTATGAAGCCAGCTGAAACGCTAATATTTGGAACCCTTTCATTCAAGGGAAACTAGTTTTACTTACTGCATTCACCACATTATAACCAAAGCAGTACACACAAGATAATAAAAAACCTTGTGTGTGTTGCGCCAGTTTCGCACAAAGTGTTGATTACGGAAGATCTATGTGTGCACAATTACCCATTTTGTTTGTTTACAGACCCTCTGATGGACACTCTGATGACTGACCCTGTGATTCTGCCTTCTGGGAATATTATGGATCGATCCATCATCCTGCGCCACCTGCTCAACTCGCCCACTGACCCCTTTAACAGACAGCCCCTGACTGAGAGCATGCTGGAGTCAGGTATCCACAAGAGCTGTTCTTTGTGACCTTTGCATATATCTGGCCCATTATTGTTATTGAAGAACCAGTGTTGATTTAAATTTCTTCTTGTAGTTCCTGAGCTGAAGGAGAGAATCCATGCTTGGATGAGAGGGAAGCAGACCGGCCGGCAATGACCTCAAGATCAAACAATGACTAGACTTCAGTAAGGGATTGGTCCAGAAAATTCCCAAAACATTTTTAAAGAAAAAGAGACCCAATTAGTTTTCCCCCATCAATATCCTCTTTTGTCACAAACCATTATCATGGTTAAAAGTATAATAAAGCTAAGATTTTTAAGTTTTTTTTCTTCTCCTGAGTTTTATGTAAAAATATAGTATAAATATTTACAAATATTGAACAAGACCTAATTACATTGTTATATGCTGCAAGAGGACTTTTCCTACAACAGGATTACAAATGAGGCTAATTTTAAGTTCTTTTGCTTCTTATTTGATTGTAATACTGTGTTTTGGAGCCATTAAACGTATTATTTGCGAAATGTTTCTGTGTATGAGAGCATGGGTGGGGCTTAATACAGTTCCTACATGTGATAGAATTCAGATGTTTAATTTTTTTGGTCATAGACAGGGGTGTTAAGGATCTGGAACCCAATGTGAACTAACCCTAGCATTAGACAGACTGTTCTCCTAGAAATTTCAGTATTGATCATTTGAATTCCTGACTGACAAATGTCCACGTCAAATCTAAATTCACCTGTGAATGTAGCATGAAGGAGAACCGTATAACCTAGTCTGTTGTTCAAGCCTTGGCTTTCCCTCTTCATAAACAGCCTCTTGAGGTACCTAATATCTTACTGAACTTAACTGTCATTTCATATGACCTAGTTTTGAAACTGGTTTTTGATTGAAATAAATGATACACTATGTATACAGCTTGTCACCCATTTGTTATCCTGACCTGGACTGGACAGTACGTGCAATCCCATATGCAAATTACTTAGGTGAGGGAGGGGTGAATATCGATTAATTAGACTCAATTAGATTTCAATTATACAACTAATGGGTTTTAATATTTGATTATGTAATACCTTTATTTGTAACGACAGCAATGTGGTGCCCTTCAAATTCAACGTAGATAAAGGTTCATTTGGATGCGTACTGTATTGAAGGCCTCTTGTTATTTGTAGAGCTTTTTTCTTAACGGCAATACAACACAAACCTACAAAACAGCAGAAAAATATATAGAAATACGTGATGAAAAAGATACCTCAATGATTAAAACCTGAGATCTTGTTATAGCGTGTTTTTGTTTTATTGCAGGGAATTTGCGGTGCATTATCAATTACGATTACAATGATTTTTTTGTTGCAGTCTTTAAACTACAAATAAGCACCACAGCTTTGTACGGTAATATCCTTCTATTAGGACGAACAATAGACGGTATCTCGGCTAGGTACCTTACTTAGCATAGGTTGGTTATGCATTTTCTAAAATAAACCCAAATGCAAGTGTTTAGATTAAGCTGTATTTTCCGCTGGGGGGCGCTGGTCATGCCTGCTGGTGTTGCGGTGACAGGGCTGGGAGCGGTGGGAGAAATCCTGCAGTGTGGCGTCAAACTAACCCCGCCCAAGCTCACTGATTTTTTCTCCTGTCATTGGCCAAGTGGAATATTCGTCACTGAAGTCTTGTCTGATTGGTCTATACAGCTGCCACTTACTACGCTTTGAGGGAGTTGACGTAATCTCTTCGGTAAATCATCAGCGATACATCAATGCTTCTGTCCGCTCGGACTCACACACGGCCGCCCAGATTTGGGTCATAATAAGGATTTAAACATCATTTTAATGGCAATCCGGTGGAGGAAACGTTTATAATGGGCGCTTTTCTTGTACGCGGACCTAAGAGCAGATTTCATGACGCGGCGTTGTGATCAAAACAAGACATTTTGACGTCTGCTAGCTCACGGTAACACTTGCCGCTATCCTATGGTTTTGGTGTCACCTCGTCGAGATTTTATAAGAGTAAGTTTCACAGTTCTTGTTTGTTTTATTGATGTACAATATAGTTATTAGAGATTGATAGAGTGGCAGCTGTCGCTCAGTGGTTTTATAGATTTAGCTTCATAAGCTAGTCATACACAGGCTGTCTGGTATCTGATCTTCAGCCCCGTTACTTCTTAATTAGCTTGTCATTGGCTGCCATTTCATTTCATGATTAACGTTACATGTCATTTTAAGATTGTATGCATGTATTTGTTCATCCAGCTTAATTTCGATTTCAATGACTGGTAACAACTAGCTATACAGTTACAGTATGATTCCTGCAAATGCAATCCTACTTATCCTATTATTGCTTAGGAAAACAATGCGTAAGAATCAGCGCTTGTGTTTTGCTAAGTTTATGAAGCACTTATGCCAGAGCTACGTATTGGCAGGCTGCTATATAAACATGTATTTGATACCCTTACATCAAGAAGCATCAAAAACAGGGACGAGGCTAGCCTACTTCCTGTAATCACTAAATGCACATATTGGGACAGCGAAAGCTCGCCAGCTGGTCTCCTGCTTGTACAATTTCAACCATTAGGTGTAGCATACAGGCCCAGCTTTCCATCCCACTTTGGCCCTCCACAAATGGGGCAGATAGGATTTCATGGGCGTATGCTTTTAGCAAGTATGGCTGACTAGAGTGGAAGCATGGGGAAAACACTGGCGGTAAGATGTACAGATGTTAATTGGGTATGTGGCAAATACATTTGGGTGGCCGTAATAAAGGCCACTTTGTTTAAGGTGACAGGCCTATACAAACTATTCCTGTGTTGAACAAACGTTCTCTCAAACCAGTTTGTGTTGGTTACTTAACTAGCTGAGAAGCAAACAAACATCTCTTGGAAATATGTTTGAAGGAAAGCTATATAACTTTTTGTAACTGGTTGTTTTCTTGTTGCTCTAAAACTAAATGTTTATATTGCATGCTCATTAACATTCTGTTCTTCTTTCAGGAAGAACACTAATTATTGCTCGGAGGGTTGGTCCAGAGTTGCCATCATGTCCGGAGCATCTGTAAAGGTCGCAGTCCGGGTTCGCCCCTTCAACTCCAGGGAGACGGGCAAAGACTCAAAATGTATCATCCAGATGCAAGGCAACACCACAAGTAAGTCACTGTCACAATGTGCTGTATGTACATAAAAAAACATTTATGACTGGGTTTAGTTTCACATGCCACCACATGCTTTTGGGCTCAAAGTGGAGAGCCACACAATGAGCAAAGTGAATGGCTAACGGTTGGGACACAAACAGGCTTGAATGAGAATAAAAGGCTTCACAGAGGAAGGGGGCTGCATGCCTGAGAAGTCTGTGAGAAATGCTGAGTTTGGGTCATGCTGTGGGACACGGGGGTTTACCTCACTGCCAGAACTTTAATCTGTCAACCTCACATTCTATAGAGTTTCCATTGAGAAAGTGAATCCACTAAACTGTTTATAGTTGCGCTATCTTCTTGCGAAAACACACAAAGCCGTAAAATGGATGGTAAAGCCATAGTGGCCTATCTCTGACTAGATAACGATTGGAAGGACGGTTGTAAGCAGCCAGCACATAATCATAATGTAGAAATGGTTTACCCTACCTTCCCAATAATAAAAAATAATAAAAATGTACACAGGCCAGTTATCTTGCTTATTGCTGGTTGTTTTGGTATAAAAGTCCTCCTAATACTATTTGTTCACCAGTCAAAATCCATGTAATTTTCAAAGACTGCGCTTTAGTCATAAGATCCCAGCTGTTTTCTCCTGACTGAGTCACTGTGCTGTTGTCTAAGCTCACGCCAAGCTTCAAGTTTGTTCAGCACACCCCTAACATTAGCTTGATCCTCATAATGTTACTTAAAATGACAGATATCAACCTGTTTTACCAACCACCACTATTTATTCATCCTCATATTTCCCCTGTCAGTCTATGTTAGCCTCAATGCAGTAAGCCTTTTCTGAGTTGCTCATAACGTCCTATGTCCTCCCTGTTACGCTCACTTGCCTTTTATCCTCTCCAACAGCTTTGTTTCAAATCCCCACTACTCCCAGTATATTTCTAAGGGGTTTTCATTTTGCACATGTTGCGGGGAGCTTGCTGGAGGGTGACTGGCAGTGACTTGCCGAGATCTAGATAAATATTCAGTAGTTTTGAGGGAGTTGGTAAGGCTGCAGTGTAGCTTACTCTACCTTTGTCACATGGGCACATTGCAGAGCAGGAGCAGAGAAGGGAGGCTGGCATGCGGCCATGCTCTCCGCTATTGCAGATGGTGGTATGCTGAGAATGTTACTGTCTTATATGGGACGCAGTCAAACAAAGCTTTCATCCTGTTTTTGTGTTAGTCATTCATTGACATTTATTCCCAGGGGAACTGTAGCAAATATTCGCAAATATATGAGAATTACTTTGGAGGTTATGTCCTGACAAAATTCTTAGCAAGGGCATAGACTTTGGCCGTGGTCATATATAGTAATGCATTTCCTAGCTATGTATTTATTTGTGTTTTAATGGATATGAGCTGGTTGTCAAAATTCTAGGATATATTTCAAATGTATTGTTGTTGGGCCTGTGAATCTAAAGAATACACATTTCTGGTATCTCCCTATAATATATTCCTAAATGCGGTGTGCTGTAGAGTCCAGCAGATGTGCGACTGAGGCCTGACACTCCCTTTAATGTTATGGTTGGCTCAAGGGCACAGTGCTTCTGTCACGGTGCGTATGTCAACACTACAGGCAGAGATCAGGAGCTGCTCCTAATAAGCGCCGGAAGCCAATGTCAGGCAATGTCCTGATCCAGTTTTGTACTTGGGGTTCTGCCAAAAATTGAAAGATCGTGATCATAACTTTGCTCAATTTGTATTATTCATTTTCTATAAAATTTAGAGAAGTAACACACATTTAGGAGAAAGAGCCATGGAGGGGCATTCATTCAGCCTGGAGGAACCCTCTTCGCTGGTACTGGAGGTTGACTGTGGGGGTCTGGTTCTTGGACCTAGTGGAGATTTGGGGCCTCAGCCTCCTCTCTCTTCTAGCTCTTGTGTCGTCCCTTGTGGCTGCAGGTGGCTCTCTGCTCCTAGTGTAGACTTCTCCTCAGATGCCTCTTATTCAGCTGGCTAGTCTTGCACATGATTGTTTCATGGTTTAACCTAGGTTACCCATTTTATGTACAGTGCGTTTGTGTGTATATTATATATTCCAAGTCTGTGACTTCCTGTTACTTACTTGGCAATACAAATGATTCTGATTCTGATATTATAATATATGCTGTTTGAGGTGGGTTTGTTAGGTGGTTAGGTTGACAAGGCAATGAGTGGTTGGAATGTATTTATTCAAAATGTAAAGCTCTTTGTGTTGCATTTTTTTGTATGAAAAACGCTACATTGATAAAAATGTGATTAATTCCACAATGTATAGATAAAAAATGCACCATATAACTTAATAATTCTATTCAAAGAGTCTATTCTATCTGAAAAAATGTTTAGAAATCAAGATGAATAAATATGAGATGTTTTTTCTATACATCTTGGGGAAATTGTATTTATTTAAGCGTAGAATAAGCTTGCAATCATTAGAGGCTTCAGATCTATGCTGGAGTTATGTAACACATGTTTAGCTACAGAGCACCTCATGAATGTACGGCCAACGATGTTTCGGAGAGATGTCTTACATACAAATTAACTATTGCTGCTGAAAAAGCTCTAAAATAGTGTGTCATGGATTGCCGCTATTAAATGAAAGCTCAAGCCCAACATAAAAAACACTGTTTAAAGTTATATCCAATGATTATTTTAAAAAATATATATTTACGAGACAGTGTTTTTATTGGCCTTTTTGTCATGTTGGAACAATGTATTTATAAAAGCATTCAATATTTTTTATATGTATTGCTCTCACATGTGACGATGGACGTCAAAACAACCTAATAGATATTTCAACTGACAAGAAGCAAGTTTAAAGGCTTATTGAATCGGCTACTTTGGCGCTAGAGCAACATGTTCTGAGCCCAAGGGAATAGGTAAACAAATTGATAATTTGATGGAAGCAAGCAAAGGTCAGGTCTAGTTCTAAACGATTCTTTTACTGAATGCCTTTTGAGATCTGTGCAAGTGGATGGTGACCTTAGAAATCCCTGGAAATAGCATGTGGCTGAGTGCACATTAGAGGATGGCATAATTCCTATATGTCAAAAAAAACCTATTTGCACAGTGGGCTGGGATAAAAAACGCTGGTTTAGATTTTATGTTATACATGATCATCACCGCGATATTGTGTCGTCTACAGACAAGGCCACTGACCTGATTAGGGGCAGTAATCCTCACGGCCTACTGCAGTAATCCTCTGGCCCTCAAGGTGCGCCGACCATGCTTAAGGTGTTACATTCTTCATCGTACCAAGTCACAAACCAAGTACAGCAATTATATGTATAAAAAAATAATAATAATATATATATATATATATATAGGGGCGACAGTAGCTCAGTTGGTAGAGCATTGGCCTTTGGGCCTGGAGGTCGTGAGTTCGATTCCCACCATGGGACCTACTCCAACTGCTCCCACTGATGACTGCTGTCGTTGTGTCCTTGGGCAAGACACTTAACCCCACATTGCCTGAAGCCCCCCGCTGAAAGATCAAGGCTGTTTCACAATTGACGGAGCAGCCATCTTCCTGTGGACTCACCCCCTGCAGAAGATCAGCGAGAGACTGGTGCTATGAGCGTTGGGTGGCAGCTCTCATTGCCACCCCCCCCCCCAGAAATGGACAAAGGGGTTGAAAATGAAATGAAATATATATATATATATATATATATATATATATATATATATATATATATATATATATATTATTTTATTATTATTATTATTATTATTATTATTATTATTATTTTATACACTGTGCTGTTGTCTAAGCTTTTATTTATATAACCCTATATAAATAAAAGCTTAGACAACAGCACAGTGACTCAGTCAGGAGAAAACAGCTGGGATCTTATGACTAAAGCGCAGTCTTTGATAATTACATGGATTTTAACTGGTGAACAAATGGTATTAGGAAGACTTTTATACCAAAACAACCAGCAATAAGCAAGATAACTGGCCTGTACATTTTTATTATTTTTATTATTGGGAAGGTAGGGTAAACCATTTCTACATTATGATTATGTGCTGGCTGCTTACAACCGTCCTTCCAATCGTTATCTAGTCAGAGATAGGCCACTATGGCTTTACCATCCATTTTACGGCTTTGTGTGTTTTTGCAAGAAGATAGCGCAACTATAAACAGTTTAGTGGTGAGGGGAAAGTGATAAAGGCCTTCACTTAGGCCCCATTTAGACGGAGACGCTGCGGAAACGCTGCAAAGCAATTTGCAAAAAACGACCAGGCTCCGTATTCCAAGTGCTCAGCGTCTACACGACGACGGAAAACAATGTAGTTATAGTGCTCGGACAGAAGGGGGTTGTGGAACTTTACAACACGACATGCGCGACCCCCACCATCACTTCCTCAACAACAGCCTCCTCAGGCCACCGCAAAGCCTGACGAGGACACACCAACATCATTCTGCATAAAACAGTTGCAGCAAAAATGGAAACTGAAACTATAGTATTGCGTGGTTTCGTTTGGACGGACAAAAGGATGGAATTGCTCCTCCGTGTAACGCTTGAAGCATACGTAGCAGTTTTTACTGTTTACGTTTGCTCTCTGCGAAGTTTACATGTTCTTATATACTCCCCATATCTCCGTAGGTTTCCTCTGGGTGCTCCGGTTTCACTTACCTATACACCTATACAATAGATCTGGCATGCAACTCCTGTGTGCTTAGTGGCGACCCCGCTTCAATTCCTGTGGGAGTGGGAAAAAATGCCCAGCACCAATTGTATAGTGCTAAGTGATGCTTTATAAAATAAAGATGACAATTACTCAATCTACTGTAATAATTGCAACTGTAACTACAATAAGTGATTTATAAATTTTGCAATTTATTTGTGATTCATTCAATTTAGAACACCAATTTGATATTTTTCCCAGTTCAACCAGGCAAAAGCTAAAGAGAGGTGTCTGAAATTTTAAGACATTTATTCAGTTCCTGTTAAAGTTTGTATGTAATTACTGCTGTTTAACTGAGT